CACCGCAGTGGACGCATCGATACCTGCCTAACGAAACCGAATGCGCAAGGACCTGGTCCGTATTGCGCGAAATCGCAACGGGCACGGCACGCTCGCCTGGTGGCCGCGGAACCTGCACATCACGCCCCCAGGCCTTACGGACAACAACCTGCACCGCAGCCCAGGAGACAAACTGTAAAACCTCACGGTGCTGTCTCAGAGCAGCAGCGACGGCTTCCGCCACGGAGCCAGCGAGCGCATGGGAGGCGGCTCCACAGCGAGCGAAGTAGTCTGCCCAGCCGTTGCCAGTCCAGTCTCGCAACTCATGGGGGTCGGCACCAATGGGTTTATCAAAAGACCTGTGGGCGGGCGTCCACCTGAACGTCGGAGGGCGGCATAGGGTCCGTCGTCGGCAAGCCTCGAAGATGCCCCGCCAGGCGCGGGCATGCTTGGCCCGTCCTTGCGCGAGCTCAGGACACCAGCGTTCGCCTTCCTGCGCCAGCGCCAGCAGGTCCGTCACGAAGCACTGGTGATCAGGAAAGGCCTCAAGTCCCTCTCTGATGGCACACCGCTCAGCGCGTCCAACAGTCTGCACCAAATTCGGAAGAGGCCCATACCGCGCGCGAACTGGAAGCCACGAGCGAGGATCGAGCTGAACCACGGCCTGCCCACATCTTCGGGCCTCAGGGACGCCCGAGTCATACCCCGACCCGTCCGTGTAAGAGACTGGGCTCCAAACGCCATGGGCGTCGCCCCATAGATACACTTCCCTGCTCGGCGCACTGCTCCGCGGCACGTACGTAGGCGGCTCAGGAAGGCCAAATATGAAGTAAGACTGCTCGAAGTTCGGCATTCCTGACCCTCGCCCGGCCTGCATGAGCTGGCCACGCACCTCCGCGAAGGCCTGCGGGAGGTGGAGGATGCCACGCCTGTCACTCGGAGACAATGCAGGCCCCGAATATGCCTCATCAGCCAGAGGGCCCTTCTGCACGGGGAATGTGGCCTGGCCAGGCGTCGCGAT